GATGTCACCGAGTTCATCAAGGTGACTGTAATCCTGATCAAAGAAAGTGTTACCAATGTGGCAAGTCAGGCCATCTGTCTAAAAATTGTCCAGCTCCCTGAAGATGTTTTCAATGTAATTCACATGATCATATTAGACTGAATTCCTCAATTGAGAGTTCCACGATTAACCATGGAAGAAAATGCTCCGAGTACTCGTGGAAGACCGAATGCGCCAAAAGGAGAACTGGGAGGGGCTCGGGACCAATCTTTTCAGATGACTTTCGGCTTATCCACAATCTCCCATGTTTCATTCTTCTATAATGCACTCATTTCCTCCTTCATAGCATCCCTCCATTCCCTTTTTGATAATGCCTCGTAAACATTGGTAGGGATAGATGGTATTTAGACTCATAATGAACCTTTTGTGGGTTGGAGATAGGCGTTCAAGAGAGACATAGTGAGATAATGGATACATTGGTCGTTTAGAGCATTCTCTAGTCCCTTTTTTCTTGGCAATGGGTAGATCATCTTCGGTATCAGTGGAAGCATGTTGTATGTGTAAAGGTGGGTCAGCTCTTACCATGTTCTCATTCCCAAGACTTGAGTCATAGTTTTGGACTTGCGTTGGCGTAGGAACGACCTTTCTTCTTGTATACACTTGAGGAGGATTTGGAGAATTGTTGGAGACATCAACCCTATTTGGGTTTGAATTAGTTTCATTTGGCTCATTGGATAGTTCACGTTCATTTAGAGGGGTGGGTGACTCGGATGCGACTTGTTCCTCCTCTACGGACTCTGATGTGGAGTCAACACTACAAGTTGGGAGGTCAAGTTTTTTTTAGAGATTCAAAAGTTTCCCAAGGCCTATCTTTTATCATTGAATTCTCCCCATGAAAAGAGGACTTGGAGAAAAAAGGTTTGTTTTTTGTGAAAGTGATATCAACCGAGATGTAGAATCTGTAGGACGAGGGATTGTAGCATTTGTACCCTTTTTGAGTGGATGTAACCAAGGAAGACACTTAATGGCTTGAGGGTCTAGCTTGCTTCTATGTTGGTTGTGAATGTGAACAAAGGCAGTGCACCCAAAAAAAAATCTTGGGTGTGAGACCATTTGATGTTCTAAAGTGAGGGTAGAAATCATTTAGAAGTTCCATGGGAGTTTTATTTCCCAATGTACGTGAAGGAAGCCTGTTTATCATGTGTGTGGAAGTAAGGACAGCTCCCTCCCCAATAGGATTTAGGAACATTTCCCTGGAAAAGCAATGCTCGGATAGTGTTAAGTAAATGACCATTAAGTAAATGACCATTTTTCCTTTTAGCTACTCCATTTTGTTGGGGTGTGTTAACACATGAAGAATCATGGATAATCCCTTGTGATTGAAAGTAGGGTGATAAAATCTGATTGAAATAGTCCTTGGCTTGTCGGTCCTAAAAATCTTTATTTTAACCCCAAACTGGTTTTGAATCATTGAGTAGAAGTTACGTATAACAGTGCTAACTTCATATTTGTGTTTAAGGAGGAAAAGCCATATAACATGAGTACAATCATCAATTAGGGATACAAACCAACGACCCCCGACACATTAGGTATGTTAGAAGGTCCCCATATGTCACTATGAATTAATTGGAATAGAAGAGAGCTCATTTTTTTTTATTAACCTGAATATCCAACCCGTTATGCGAGCTGACTAATCCCAGGGCAACCACCTGCTTTGCAGATAGCCCGGAGTCACCGCATTTGAACCTCCGTGGCCACAAGGGGATTTTTATTCCTCCTTGGATTTGAACTTGGGACCTCCTGATACTTTTGACCTTTGGAGTCAAGCTCAAACCAATCATGCACCACCCTTATGGTTAAGAGAGCTCATTTTATTACTCATAGGAAAAGAAGCACGAATATGTTTGGCCAATTTGCAAATATCACAATGAAACTCAGAAATATCTAATCCTTGAAATTGATGAGGAAACATGACATTTAAAACTCTAAAGAATGGGTGACCTTAGACGCAGGTGACCAGATCGTATCTTTATTAGATGAACTGAGAAAGGATGAAGGTGGAACGTTGCTTTTCTGGAAAGATTCAAGATGATAAAGGCCATTCCTTTCCTTAGCAAGTCAAATCCTCTTCCTTGAGTTTTGTTCCTTAAAAAACACAATATGAAGAGGAAAAAATAGCACAGCATTTAAAATCATGGGTGAGTTTTTGGACTGAAACGAGGTTGACTGACAGTTTTGGTACATGTAAGACATTTTCAATTCTAAGACAAGGTTGGGTGTGATATGTATATCTCCAAAGCCTGCAACAGTTGCTAATGAGCCATTGGCTACTGTAATCTTTCGGTTGCTAGGGCATGGAGTGTAATTATGAAAAAAAATTGGAAGGTGTCATATGATCAGTGGCACCATAATCTATTATCCACGAGTTGACAAGGTTATTACTCGAGGCATTCAGACAAAAAGGAAAAGGTGGTTTACCTGAAAGAGTTAAAGAGCAAGTTCCTGATGACTTTTCTAAAGAAAAATCCATGAGTTGACAGAAAGGTCATTCAATCAAAGGGAATACAACAATTAAGGTTGTTCTATCAGAAACACTTGCACGATGAAGGTTGCACGAGAAGAGCAATTAAGGCTGAAATAAAATAGAACAAAGGTTTTAGATTTCTGAGAGAAACCTAAAGCTCTTATACCATGACAAGAAAGATGAACTGAATAATGATATTCTCTCACTTTCTTTTGATTATACAAGGCCCTATATATAGGGTATTTACAAGAGATGAAGGGAATCTAAATCAAGGAAATCAAGGAAAAGATACAGAAAAGATAATGATAAAGAAAGTAAAAATATCCCAAATTTATAAAAACTATATGCCATAACTATAGGGATACCTCCTGATCTATAATATGTACATTTCGACAATACACACTAAAGAATTGCAACTAAGAATTTTTCATTTGAGAATCATGCAACATTATAAAAAGATATATTTGTATTTAGAGTAAATTACATGTTTTATCCTTGTGGTTATATGTTTTTAGCGGTCCTTGTTCCTTTTTGAAAATTCAACGGATTGTGTCCATGTGCTTGCAATTTTACAATAATTCGGGTCCTTAATGCAACCACAAGACTGGGTTGTTGATTTATTTAGGGATCGAATTCATTGAAAAACTACAACCATAAGGAGCCAACTCATCAAGAAAATGCAACCACAAGGATGTAACTCATTAAAAAACGCAACCACAAGGACACGTTTCGTTGAATTTTCAAAAAAGGGAGAAGGACCGTTGAAAACACCTAACCACAGAGAGGAAACATGTAATTTACTCTTGTATTTATTTACCAAATACCAATTAGAGGTATCTAATCACATCTAAAATATTATGTGTTACTATATATAATCCCCCATCAAAATAAATTAAAGTGAATTTCAAACCAGCTCTCATGGTCGATCCTGTCTATTGGCAGGGTTCGTCTCCTTCTTCTTCTAACATTGTTTGCCTTTTTCACCTAATCTATTACCGTTATTGATTGCTTCTTTGTCATATAATCACCATGGTGTGACATAAAAAAGGCATAGAACCATAACTAGGGTAGCAAAAATGGGAATCCTGAGGTGGATATGTGAGAACACAATGATGGATAGGTTTAGACATGATGATACATGAAAGAAGGTTGGAATACAACGCCACTTCTAATGCCTTTACTCAACTTCAACATAAACGTTTAGATTCACATGATAGATGATGACACGAAAAAATATGGAATGATGGAGGAAAAATAGAAGAGGTAAGATTAGGCTAAAATTGGCATGATACTAGGTAGAAGAATAGATTTGGATGGGTGTAAAAGTTCAAAGAATATGACCTTAGATAGGAGTTATTAGAGCCTTAGAAAGATGTTATTCATGGTGTTGGGTGGCCACTCAAGCTTATCAAAAGGTTCTTACTGAAACATTTATGAAATGTTACACTAATATAACACCATTAAACATGATTACTTATATGGAACAAAAGTTGCAGTTTGTGGCATCCTACTTGGATGCCAAGTATGGACTCGTGAAAGTACAATTCTGGTGTAAGATCAAGAAGGTCATGGTCTTAAATTTATGCTGCCCCTTTTCATAATCTCAGCTACTAAAAAGCCAACAAGTGTTCTTATATCTTGGATTGAAAGATATCCAAAAGTTAATGTGGTCATCGGATTTTTCGTGAATCTAAAATAACCTATTCCAAAGTTTAAAGTGGATAAGTATAGTGCTTCCAACATGGCATTAAGTGATTGGTGAGGGTGAGGGGTGGCCAAGACTTGGCAAGAAAATTTGGATTGTTTCACTCCTTCACTTATGAATGGGCTTAAGTTGATTTCTTGAAGTTTAGTCAACAATGTTCACAATCTAGAGTAAGAAGTAATCATTATTCTGCTGAATTACCCAACACACAAAGACAACAAGAGTATTTGACATAAAAATCTAGGCGTAAATCTTCTCTTTCGGAATGCATCGTGTGAATCATATTGTCTGAGTTCTGTATCAAATAAAAGTTATGTTCAATGCACTCTTGTCTCCAACCAAACCGTCTCTAAACAACTGTACATTCCCCGCCCCTACAAGAATTTTCACATTGAACATGGTACGAACTTATATAACAACAATTGAGGCAAAAATGCCCAGTGAAAGAGACTAGCAAATGTATCATTAGATGCTTTCAACTACCATTGGCATTTCAAAACAAGAAACTCCACGAGAAGGAGCACAAACAATTAAGCAAAATGACACTCTACAATCACAATTAAAACCCACAACAGAAACCAACTTCTACTTCAAATTCACCAGGAAAAAAATCAAATCCATGACCCAAACGATGCTCCCTCCATTTGCCAACAGAAAGGTATATTCCCACCTCCATCCCACTCCACCTCAACCAACTCCAGATACTACATTTTATTAGTCGAATCGAATTCCCAAAGAAAAGGTTGTCAAATAAAAACGACTCAATGCAATACTAAAGGGCAATAAACATACCAGAGGGCTCAGGATTGGGCGATGAAGAAAATCTGAGTTGGGGATCCGACACAGTGTTGTTGCATCTGACAATTGGTATATATGATTTCAAGGATTCAACCATGGGCGTCTCGGATACAACTGACGGCGTCTCAGGTACAACTGACGGCGTCTCAGGTACAACTGAAGGCGTGGAAGTAGTGCAAGGACTTGGCGAGGGTTTGAGAGGACTTGGGTCGTCATCGATGATGAAAACTGTTGTAGGGTTTGAATCAAAATTAGTTCTTTGCTTCTTGGATTGAAATTGAAGTGGGGTTGTCTCGTCGTCGGAGATTATGTTCACGGTTATAGGGCTAGACATTTGAGAAAGACAGCAGACCTTCGAATGTGTCAACTAAGCGGGTATTTTTGATTCCGACAGAAAAAGTGTGGGTAACATACTAGCATGTACACAATTAGCCCCTGTAATATACTAATATTCCATATTTAGTCCCTATTCATGAATTTGTAGGTTTTCGAATTTTAAAAACAAAAAATTATATCTTTTGGCTGGAGAAAGAACTTGGGAATTGATGGGTACTTTTAAAATGATTACTGCATTAAAAATTAAAATTATATAATAAACTGTAGTCTATGTCGTGTTTGATACATAGAACAGGACAGTACAAGACAAAACTCATTGTCTCATGTTTGGTTATGACATGGGACAAGACAAAAACTCACCATTACATGTTTGGTATGACATGAGACAATGACAAGGATTGGGACTGTTCCGCCGCCACCATCACCGACAGCCACCATCGACCATTGTTGGCCACCTCCACTACTACAACTTCCTTCACGACCTCCACAACCATCATCGACCACCTTCACCGTGACCACTACCACCAACACCGGCTACCACTACCACCGCCCACCACCACCTCTACCTTCACCACATCGACTACCGCTGCCTCCTCCAACATTGTCAGCCACCACCATCACTGTCCACCATCTCACATCTACAACGCCTCCACAATATAAGTAAATTTAAATTGGAAAAGCAAATACACAAATGATGCTAAAATAATAGAAATCACCTAAATATGGGAAATGTAAGCGTTTACATTATAAATCATGAATGGTAACTCAAGCTAATAATCTAAATCAAACTAGGTGAAGATTAACATCGGGTGTCACTACATTCACCAAAAAAAAATATTCAACATGTGACTCAATATATCTTCAAAAGTATGATCTCCAAAACTGCCCCTAATAGCAATCGTCACTCCATTCGAACCTTGGGAGCCTACCACTTAAAGATCATGATATACATGTAATATAAGAAGAAGTGTAAACTTAACGCATACTGAGGTCAAACAGATTTATAGATGAAGTTGGAATCATAAAAATCAGTAATATAAGGTTTAAACCAACAAAGAGTTCAAGTTGTTTCAAAACCCAAAGTGATTTCATCTTTCAAGTACCAATAATTTCTCCCTTTCAAGAATAGGGTCATTTCATCATGATTCTTACCAAAATCATAAGTTTTATAATCCAACATATCATTTTTAAGATGGTAACTCACAGAGCAACGAATCAAACTTCATTATATCAAATATGGCAAAAAAAACCAAAGCTCTCGAAGTACCCAAAATTGATCAAATCCGTAAATACGTAAAATGCATCAAAGGGGAATGTTTAGGAGACTAAAACATAGCATTTTGGCATGTACATACGGTTTAGAAATGTTAGAATGAACTCACAAGTTAGGTTTTGAAGAAAGCCTAAAAACAAGCAAAATAGTGAAGAAGAAGAAGAAGAAGAGTATATCTTGAATCGCTAGCTTTAATACTCAAACTTGATTATGGATGCTCTTAAGATTCTTAAAGTAAAATTCTTAAAATGCTCTAAAGAAAAACGCCTACTAGGGTTTCCTACTGTCTTTAATGAAGAGAGAGAGGGGGGGATAAAAGAAAAGTAAATGAGTAGAAGCCTACGGAAAACGGCTTTAAATCGATCAGTGCCTCTTCCATGACCTTGCCCATGACTTAAGTCCTGGCATTGGTCGCCCATGTTATAAACAACAGGTCACATATTCTCAAGCAGCTTCTCCTACGGTCTAGGCTGCATACCTATCCTGTGACCTTCTGTCTCTCGAATTCAAAATCATAGTGTGGAGTCGCACCTTGGGTCGCAGGCTAGGTCACGACAGCCACTGTTTTGCACCGATTTGGTCCATTTTGTGCTTTTCTCCCAGGGGACTTGACCAAAGCCTTTCTCTAAATAAAGTACTTAAAGTTTGGCATTAACACTTCCAAACTTAATGTAAAATCAATATATGTACATTATAATATTCTGGTGTTATAACATCCCATTAATCACCGTCGTCCACCAGCCACCACCGCCTCTATCTCCACCAACATTATCATTGCAACAACCTCTATCACACCTCTTGTCCACCATCTTTACATCATGCAACGTTACAATTATCCACTACCACTACCACCATTGGTTACCATTAACACCGCCCACCACCACCTCTACCTACATAATATCAACCACAACTACCTCATCTACCAATTCTACCTCCACCACCTCTATTGGAAGTGCATTAGGTACAACTAGAGTCACATACGCTTGTCGATGCACAATCGTTGGACAAGACCAACAGTCATGATCACTTCATAAAATTGGGTTTATTAAGTGAGTCCTAAAATGATAAACACTCTTATCCTTATACATGATATATGCATTAGGACCTAATGCATAAAGTGCTATACTTTGATTTAGTCTAACGTTACCCTTAATCACGTAATCGAGGTTAGATTGGGTATAACATAAATTATGTATAAGTCATGTACACGCAATATGAAATTTCCTTCTCTCAAGATGAGAGATATATTATTAGGCTCCTCGATGACATAGTTTGGTTTCCATGACAATGGACAAGTGAATTAGTTGAACTAATAGCACTTGTCTAATTAAAATAAGTTAAGATTCGAAAAACATAATTTTGAACTATAAATGATGAGATAGATCTATGCCTTAAATTCAAAACAAAAATATCATAAAGCAAAAGGATAACAAATAATTCTACCATGTTGTCACACCCCAATTTCCACATATTTGCATATAACGTGTACTTCATATAAAAGAAATACAATTTACACCACAAAAGTCTCATTAGTACAAGGATTCAATATATACATAATTTACAACTGAAAAATTCCAAAAGAATATCTTTGTACTATCACATGTATGTTGACATATATCTTCAAAATATAACAAGCAACAGATTGATCTTCAAAAGGCAGATAAGCACATAAGGAAAATAATCATATTTTCCTCTTCCCCTTAATATCTTGAGACCCCGTTGTTCTTACAATTCACATTTTCAAAATACAATATGAGGGTTAGACCTGAAGGTCTAGTGAGAAAATCAATTCTTTGCAATTACAGGGTGAAGATCATCGAATCGTGTTTAAAACATCTTTTGCGAATAAATAAATAAATTTCAACAAAAAGATGCAAATTTGCTTGTTACTCAAATTATAAAACAAACATATTTTATTAACACATAAACACATTCCATGAAATCTGCATCTTTTACGAAACACAAAGTCATAAAATTTCTCTAGCTTAACAGGCCCTAGCTCTTTTGGCTCAAGCTCCTCTGTCTCTTATGAACCAGAGCTTTCTCTGGTTCTTAAGAAACATGGCTCTTTTCTTAAACCAGTTCCTCTAGTTGATCAGAGCTTCTGCTATCATCAACCAAAGCTTCTGTACTCATCCTAAATAAAACAAGTCTAAATTCAACCAGACAACCTTCTGGACGACTAGAGTCTCTGGTTCAAAAGACCAACATTTGATTTTTAAAGAAAAGTATAATAAAACTATAACCAGAGCTCCTCTGGTTCTTTACCTCATTTAAGAAATATTTAAAAGAACTGACTGATAAAATATTATTTTAAAAGACAAAGCTTAGATACAGAGCTATGACACAAAATCTTTCCTGATACAAAGCTTCTGGATCATAAAATTCCCAAAAACACTTTGAAAGATTTTCACACGACCATAGGTCCTCTGGTCCCTTTTAAAGGCCAACCAGAGTTCCTTTATGCCTTCTCAATTTCAGATTTCATCAAAACCATTTGAAATCATGGGTAAATAATGCTTCTAGTTCTAAATTGTTTTTCCCTTCTCGATAACATCAATGTTATTATTTCAATAGGAGCAACGCCTCTAAATCATCAAGTCACAGAGAAATGTTGATTTAGAATTATCGCATCCTATGGTGATAATAACAAGAGTTACAATATTAATCACACCCACAAATGTCACCCTTATATCTATATGAACATCTCTCCTTGATATGCCACTCTTATTCCCTCTTCAAGATATGGTTTCATACCATAACAGACTTATGTCACCACATCTGAAAGAACCCAGTTCCACACCAGAACAGACTTATGTCACCACGTTTGGGGGAACTATTTCTCAAAACAAAGTTTCATACCAGAACAGACTTATGTCACCATGTCTGAAAGAAACATTTCAAAACAAAGTTTCATACCAGAACAGACTTTATGTCACCATGTCTAGAAGAAACATTTCAATTCAGTATTTATTTCAAAACAGACTTCTGTCACACACGTCTTGAAAGAAAACATCAGTATCTTTTCTTGATTCACAAATCTTATTTAAAAGATACAAAAATACCCTTTTCATGTTATAAAACAGTTTAGAACTGTTTAAAACATCAATTATGAGATACCATTATTGAATAATCCAAGTTTTAAGCAATGTCCCTTCATCGGTTAACCTTATCCGGACAACACTGTCCGGGTAAGCCTACCCGGACAACACATATCCAGATAACATTTAACCCTTCAAACATTAAATTCATACAACACAATGAGTGATGAGTAACTAACCGAATAATACTATGTCCGGTGAAGAGTCCTTATCGGACAAATTTGATGTGTTTTTAACTTACTAGAAGGGTACTCATGCAATGCAACGAGATACATCTCGATTTTAATGTTTTATTTTATTATTTGTCTCTATTGATATTATAATATGATTTTATGTGTTTTTAAAAAAGCGATAACGATTTTATTTTTGAATAAAATATAAATTTGAAGATATCATAAAAATTTGAAAAAAAAATATCAATTTAGTATCAAATCGACTATTTAAAAGTTTTCATTTTTTGTGTAATTTATTCAATTTAATTTTTTTATTATAATTTAATTTAAGTTTAATAACGAAGTAATTTATTTTTGGTTAATAATACTAGAATGGTACTCGCACAATGTAGCGAGATACATCTCGATTTTAATGTTTCGTTTTTTCTTCATCTCAATCGATGTTATAATA